CTCTATCCCTCTCCCTTCCTCTCTATAAAAAATCAATAAAATATATTTTTTTAAAAAAAGAAAAAAAGAGTAGGGGCTAAGGGAGGGGTCCCTGGCCCTGGGTTCTGTGAGGGGACTGCTAAACTATCAGGAGACTAGGTAGCATGAGCAGCCTAAGTCCACCTGGTACCCTGGGGCTTTGACCAGTTGTCATCTGGAAGATGTATTACCCTCTCTTCACTGCTTCATGCCTTTCAGACTTTGCCCTCCCTGTAGCACCATGGAATGAAGGAGGACTGCTCTTCCTTCAGAGGCCTAATTAAAATTAGAGGTCTTCTCAGATGTTGCTTTTGCCCACTAGCAGCCTCTTTCCCCAGAGCCTGCCACACTGCGGCGCATGGGGAGACCACAGAATAATCCTAACTGCACGTGTTTAAGGGGGAAAGACCACACCTGATGAGGAGACAGGAGAGGGCTGCAGACCTGAGGTGAGAACTTGGGAAATGTGGGCAGCTCTTTGAGATTGGATATTTTGGGGCTGACATTCCCTTATCCTTGTATATTGGAATTCTCACCCAGGCATCGTGGGATTTTTACTCGTTTTCTCAAAGTCGGCTCCACCACATCCCAGAGTCTCCATCCCCCTACCCACTGTTGCTAAATTTAAATCCTCATCTGTCCTTTTCCTGTAGGACGTGGGTATTTTAAGGGAGCGACAGCGTGATGCCACGGGAGATGCAATGACATCAGTGCTGTGAAAATAATCCTGCTAGCTCCTCCTCTCTGTCTGTCAGATGCCTCCACCCACCTGCCAGGGACTCACCCAAAGGATGCTGCATGAGGAGAGGGTTCCCAGGAAGTGGGGTTCAGGAAACCGGGAAAACATACCCAAGGTGCACAGAGAAACAGAGTGGACACAAACTCATCCTTCGACACGCCTCGGAGACATCCCAGGATCTGAGGGAGTCACCAGGTCAACATATAGTCCAGGGTCCTGAGGTACAGTAAGTCTGGGGGATCTTCTAGGGGACATACTTTGGGGAGCAAACATGGATATTACATTCTGAAGGGTATATGAGACCTTCCATAGCTCCTAGAAGACGGAGAGCAGAAGTGTCATTCTTTCCCTTCCCAACCAAGTCCCCAGGGTGAGGGCTAGTGGGTGGGGCAATGGAGGTTTCCGAATTCTTGCTGATTGGTGTATCAGCCTGAAGGTTGCAGGGTGGAATGGAGACTCCTAAAGTGTGCAGAGCCCTCCTGCATTCGCGCACTACCAGTGTGTGTGTGTGTGTGTGTGTGTGTGTGTGTGTGTGTGTGTGTGTGCGCGCGCGCGCGCTGACCACCCAGGAAGCACAAGGGTGAGTTTTCAGGTCTCTGGCCTGGTAACAGGAAGGACACACTTTGCTCTTGAACTCGTTGTTAGCATATCTGCCTCTACAGCATGGCTTTTCCCAAGGGCATAGCTCTTGCAGCTTTGGGAAAGCTAATTAATTTTCATTGCGGAGAGAGGATTTCAGAGGAAAACATCCTTCCAGTGCAGAAGAATCGAGTCAGGACAAAGGAGATGTGTCGGCTATTTTGAATCAAATGGGAGTAGGTAAATTGGAAACGCTGCCCAAGACCAGGCACCCTGAGGCTTTGCCAGCTTCTACACGGGAGGCTATGGAGCAGCCTTCCAGATCTTGAGCAACAAAATAAAAACCCATTTGGACGTCTGCCTGCTGTGTTTTCTCTGCATGGTCAGAGTTAGCATCTTGCCTCATGCCTGATTCCGTGTGTGTGTGTGTGTGTGTGTGTGTGTGTGTGTGTGAGAGTGTGTGTTTGAGTGTTCAAGGTCTTCTCCAGGTCCCCAGACTCCTACTTATACCACCACCCCCACGATGCCTCTACGTATACGATTGTCATAGAGGGAGATGGCAGTAACCATACACTGGAATCTGGGGTGTCAGACACGAGGGACAGGAAAGGTTACACCTATAAGACATAATCAGTGGTCCATGGCTCTGATTCTGGAGTCTCCAGGAAACTAATGTAGAATGGTAGGTTTCAGAAAAAAAAACTCCACCCCAGGGGCAGACGATCCAGAAAGGCCAGGAGTCTGGCTGAGGCTGGGCAGATGTAAGAAAGACTCCATGCTGCCATTTGCCATTCTATGCTTCTGATGTGTGGACAACAAGGGGGTGGGGGAGACAGTTCCCAGTGAGCTCTCCCTCTCCCCCACCCGCTCCATAGAGGTGTGGCTTGAACTGGAGGTGAACAAGGGCCCCATGCCGAGGTCTCAGCCACACTGCGTGGGCCCCAAGGGCAAGCACAGAAATAACAGGATGCACTTGGCTTCAGCTCCTCCCCATGGGAAGCTGTGGTCTCAGAGACCAGGGAGCGGGAGGGTGAGGAGGGATGGCAAGAGGGAGAAGAATGATGTGAACACACTGAGATTCAGGACAACAAAGTCTCTCTCATGCCTCTCTACCTATTGAGCCATCACCTGAGCCTCTGAAGGACTCTGGCTGAACAGGTAGAGCTGCCTCCCACATGGTATTGCCACAGACACAGAAATGTCAGCTTGGCATACAGGTGGCCCCACCACAGGAGAGGCTGCCACAGGGCATCTGCTTGGCCGCCTCTGTCCTCTAGGCACTGACCTCCCAGGGCAGAGGTCACCAAAGCAGCTCTCCTCTCCCCTTCTACCAATAAGCCTCAGTGTGAGAGTCACACACACACCACCTCACTCATCATTTATGGAGCCCCTACTATGTGCCGGACCCTATATAATTTGCTGCGGATACCACAAATCTGGTGGTGGAAACAGACATGTACTGCAGTCTAGTAGGAAGTGCTGTGATGGGGGCATCAACAAGAGGTGCCAGAGCACAGAAGACTTCCTGGAAGAAGCAACATTGGGACTGGGTGTTCCGTGATAAGCAGAAGATTGCGCACAAAGAGAATAGATAAGTAGAATCGTTAATAAGCACACAAAGAACATGCTGGGCAGAGGGAACAGTATGTGCAAAGACGAAGGCAGGAAAGAGCAGGGTGAATTTGGGGAAGTACTAGTGGTCTGTGTGACCAGGTGCACAAGAGAGGTGGCAGAGAGGCCAGGGAGGGAGGCCAGGTCTGACCCCCCTGGGTTAAGTGCCACCGCCAAGGCATCAGAACTTGACTCTGGCAGTGATGGGAAGGATGGGAAACTTCTAAGAGGAGAGTGGCATAACCAGAATTGCACTTTGGAAAGGTCACTCAGACCCAGAGTCAGGTTGGAGTGCGGTAAGACCCCAGAGGCAAGGAGACCAGGCTTATATTGAAGCAACACAGTAACAGCAGTAGAGGAAAGAGAAAGGAAAAGACATGTTGGGAGATTTTAAGGGGTAAAAATGACAGGTGTCATCACCACTTGGACATGAGGTGAAGGGAGAGGGAGAAGTCTAGACTGATGCCCAGGTTTCTGGCTTCGGTAACTGGGCAAAAAGCGATAGGGAGAGGTAAGCAACAATAGAGAAGAGTTTGGGTTAAGGTTGAGTCTGAGGCACAAGATGCTTGAGTAGACATACCAATAGGTATGTAAATAGGGGCCAGGAAAGGAGTCTGGGTGGGAGAAATATATGTGGAAGCATCCATCTACAGCTGGTACTTGGATCCATGGGTAAGGAGCAGGCACCCAGCAGACGACTAGGCACTGGGAGGGACATGGGATGGGCCAGTGATCTCCACCTCCATCCCACCTGTTAAGAATTCCAGAGAACATTACTGATCCCCTCATCCCACAGAAAGGAACTAAGACTTGGACCCCTGGTGTTTCCTGGGGCAGAGACAGCCCAGGAAGGATGTTCCATTACAGGCCCCTCTTCTGAAACATGTCAATCGCATTACTGCTTCTTACCACCTAGGGGACATGTCTCAGAGCCCGGCCTCTCTTGCTACAAATGGCAGGGTTCCTGCCCTTACGTCCTAGACTCCTGGGCTAGGAGCCCATGTGCTCCAAGTGGGATGTTCCAAGAGATGGGGAGGGACTGACAGTGACCCCACAATGTCCAGGCATCTGCAGCATCCCCTGAATCACCTATATTTTTCCAGGGAGTGCTGAGGGAAGGCGTTGGGAGCCATCTGACCTTGCCTTATTTCCCTGTGGCCTGGCATCCTGGTGATGGCACCCAAGACAACCAGTCCTGCCCACCTCACCTCAGCCCTGTTCATAGACCCCAACGGGCCCTGAGACCCACAGGCCCGCCTCCTACAGTGTCCACATGGGATCAGACAGGCAGGAAGCAGCTCACGGCACTTTTTTCTGGTTGTTTTATTTGAAAACCCTCAGGTGTGTCCCCTCCCTCACCACACCCATTCCCCTACCGCCACCCCAGGACATGACAATGCCACACACACACACACACAAGGCTGTGAGCTGCACATGGAACACAGGGGCTGTGCTCACAACAACATGAAAAAATATACATTATATATAATACATTGGGTCCCCTTCTCCCGCTCCCACCCCCACAACCTAGCCATGACCGGGTCATGTAGGAAGGGGAAGGGGCTGTAGGACTTCAGGCAAGGACAGGAGAGGAAAGAGGACAACAAAGGAAGGAAAGTGGGCGCAGTGAAGAAGCAGGGGTCCCCAGAGTGAAACGGACAGAGGTGAGGGATCATAAGAGAAGCAGGAAGGCCCCAGGGCGGGAACTGGAGGGAGGAAGGCCTCATGGACAGGAGAGTAGGGAAGTGGAGTAGAGGGTTCCTTCAATCCCATCGCTGGCCCCTGCCATTGCTACTGACAACCCCCCCAATACAGAGCATGGCTAGTGGGGGGAGAGACAGAGACATGGGTGAGCTAGAGGAAGGCTGCTCTGAGGAGCAAAAAAGGCAGCCAGAGTCTTCCACTCGGGATAGCGGGGGAGCCCAGAGGCATGGGAGCAAGGTGGGTGGGGGGATGGGGAGGGCAGACTCCAGTGGGATTTTTGAGATTAAAGGATGCCTCAAGCTCTCTCCCTTTTGGTCTCTCTTCTCTCAGAATGTCCTTCTTTCTTTCCTGAGAGTATCTCTGTCTCACCAGGGCAGGATTCTCTCTCTCTCTCTCTCTCTCTCTCTCTCTTCGGGGAGGAGTGTAGGCCTTAGTAGCGGTGTGGGGGGGTCTCAATGATGCGTCTCTCGTCGCCGCTGGGCGAGTCAGCTGCCTCTGAGTCACTGCTGTCCTCGTCCTCCTGCTGGCCACCGGCAGCCCCTGCCACACAGGCTTGCCGATTCTGGTAGGACTGGAGAAGGCAGAAGTGGAGAAGAGAGGGGCTCAGTGGCCTGACACACCCCAGAGCCTCTCAGCCTCCCTCCGTCTCCTCACCCCACCCCTCTCCCACCTCCTTCCCCATGCAAACCTTTCTCCTTTCTACTCAGAGGCTCTGCCCAGAGCTTTTCCCCCAGGGCCCGGCCATTCCTTAGAGGTCTTCGCTGTGTATGACCCTTCAGACCTCCCACTCCCCAGAGCCACTCACCTCCATAGGGTTCACGATAATGGTGAGAGCAGAGTCATCCCAGAAGAGGTCAGGGTCCTTGGGGTCACTGGAGGCCCCTGGGGGCCCACCGGCCCCCGAGACACGGCGGTGAAGGGAGTGGATTCTCACCAGGCCCAGGATGACCATGAGCACCAGGAAGCCCACACACACCACAATGATGAGAGTCGCTGCACTGGGGACCACTGTGGGGAGAGCGTGCGGTGAGCAGACCGTGGCCAGGCCTACCTGAGGGGACTCAGCACAGGGAGCAGGGAGGGGGGCCTAGGCAGAGGGTATCTCTGAGTAAGAGAAGAGAAGATCCGTGATGACTCAGAAGAGGAGACTACCCTGGAGAAGCTAGAAGAAAAGTAGAGCTGGGAAGGACCAGAGACCAAGAGAAAAGCTGTCGGCAGAGTGGCTGCTGCTAGAGAGACAGAGGGACGGAGGTGAGTAAAAGTGGAGGCAGGGCAAGGTGGGGAAGGGCTCCCAGCCCAGTGCTGTCAGGAGCAGCCTATTGTCAGCGGGAAGAGGACAAGGTTTGGAGCCTGCCCGGGTTGTGCTCTCGGGACCACTTGGCCTAGGAATGAGCTGGTCAGTGGGAGAAGGAGAGAGGCAGCCACATGGGCTTAATGGTGTGGGCGGAGAGAATGTCCAAGGCTGGGACAGGTCTAAGGGGCAAGGAGCAGCCCTTCACTTACCTACCTGGATTGGACTCACTCCTGCTGGATGCCACCTCCCTTCTCCTTATGGGCTTAGGGCTCCTGGGCCTCCGGAGCCTCTGCTCCTCCCTAACCTCCCTCGGAGGTAAACCCCTCCTCTCTTTGGCCCTGCCATGCCTCTGGTCCTGCAGCCCCACTTTGAGGCCCAGGCTCAGGGGGGCATGGACCTTTAAGGGCAGTGAGACATTGAAGGGCATGTGGACTCTCACGTGGACCCTAGAGCTGATGGCGGAAAAGCAGATGTGCATGCACAGGTACATGCCCAGGAAGACCGGGTGGGCACACAGCTGGACAAAGGTCGCCACACCCTGCACCCAAGTCAGGCCTCTGCTAGCCCACACAGCTGCCTGCACCAGCCCCCTGGCGGCCTGCTCACACAGCAGGGTGTACGGGATACGTCTGAGGGTCTCCAGAAAGGCAGCGAAGAGCCATAGGTGCAGCGTCACCCAGCTCCCTGCCAGCTGGGCACACCAGGCAATCCCCTGAAGGAGGATGTAAACAGCACAGACGTAGACTGCAAGGGCCACAGAGCGAGCAGCTGTGAGCACAGCCCTGCCCACCCCCCGCACACACACAAACAGGCCTCGGAGAAACAGGAGGAGGCAAAACAGGAGAGCCCACAGCCCCAGGGATAGCAGTTGAAGGCAGAGACCCCACACATACACACCCAGGCCCAGGGCCCTCACAGGCAGCTGGGTCACTACACCCCACATGGTGCACATCCTGACCACTGTCTTTGCTCACAGCAGCTCACCACCCGACCACAGAGGCTCCATGAGGCCCAGACTCTGAGCAGTCCCGTTGCTGAGGAACTATTAAATGCATGGGACACACATACACACACACACACACACACACACACACACACACACACGTTATGTTCCGGTAACAGATATGCCTCCTGGTCCTGAATTTACCCTCAGCCTATAAGACTCACATGTCAAGAGACAGAGCAGAGCGCAGAGAAGCACACAGCACAAGAGCCCCACACACCCTGCTGCAGTCCCTGCTTGCGGCAGCCAGCACACTCACGCTGCCACCACACACACTACCACGCGCTCCAGGGCCAACCAGGTGTGTGGAGAATGCCCTGCCTGAGCAGGCACACTAGCCTCACACCTCCCTGAGGCCACCCTGATGGCTCTCTGCCCAGTTGGTCCCCGTCCCGACCCATAGCCCACTTGGGGCCACTCTCCAGCTAGAGCTGACTCTGCCTAGCAGGGCGGGCAGCCTTCCTGGGCACTGGCTCCAGGGCAGAGATGGGCCTGGCTGGATCAACATTTCTTAACTGCCTGGGCATGGGGGAGGAGGAGAGAGGGAGACAGAGAAGACCTGTCTGCCCATCTGCAGGAAACAGTCCCTCCCAAGTCTCCACGTCAATGAGCACGATGGGGGAGGGGGGCCACCAGCAGAATGCCCCCTGTCGCTAAGCCCAGCCTCTAGAAGGAGTGGAGGCCACAGCAGGCATACTTGCTCTGGGCACAATGATGACAGGCCAAACCTTCTGGTTTGTGCCTTAATCAGATGCATTTGGTCCTCTGAGACCCTGGCCTGGCAAAGGAAATCACAAGTTGATTGCCAGGACTAAGAAATGATGCAGGAAAGACAAAATGCCAACACTCTATCTATAGGCCAATGAGCATGGCTCATTAGTTTAAACTGAGCCAGGAGGCCAGGGAGATGGGAGGATTTTTAAATTAGCTACAGATAAAAATCAAGAGTTTAACAACGAAGCAACCTTTCTTGTGGCATTAGATCTGAGCTGTTACTTCTGGCCTTGAATGACCTCCATAGTCAACATGAAAGGGTGTTTTAGCAAATGGCCCATGTGAACTCCTGGCTTCAGCTGATGGTGAGGACACTGTGGAGAGCCCTGTCCACAGCTCTGCGTGGTGCCTGCTTTGTGAAGACCATCAGGAGAAACCTTTCTACCCTTGGTCCCAGGGCTTCTCCTGAAATTCTGCTTGGCTCCTATCCTATGACCTTCATAACTTCTCAGGTTCTCCTTGGCTTTAGTGACAAGGAAGCTCAGAGTCAAAATTTGACCCACTCTCGCAACTGCACAGTCTCTGAGTATTTTATGAACTGATTTTATCTTATTCTTCTTTCATTTCAGTCCTTTCTGCCGCACTTCCTAATTCATTTTCTACCTTTATCCTATTACACTGTAGGTCTTTCTGGAAAGCCTTGTAGGAAACAAGGCAGGGAAAGGGTTCCCAAACCTTGCCGCACATTGGAGTCACTTAAGAACCTTTGAAAACCCTGATGCCTGGAAGAAACAAAGCAGGGAAATGGTTTCCAAACCTTGCCACACTTAAGAACCTTTGAAAACCCTGATGCCTGGCTCCCACTGCCAGACATTCCGATTTAACTGGTATGGAGTGTAACCTGGGCACCAAACGTTTTTACAGCTCCCCAAGTGAGACTGAGGAGCATCAAACTTTTGGATGACTAGATAAATACTATCTTCATCATTTTGTCTCACCCTTCTCAGACAACCTTATTCTCCCTAACCATAATTGCCCTAAACCACCCACCCACCCACAATTTTCAAATTCTCATTCTCTCTCATAACCACACAAAATTCCTTCGAGGTCAAAGTTCAAACTCTATGCGCACCAGAAAACATTCCCTGACTGCCCCCCTTCACACTGATCCTCTGTTTTCTGATGCACTTAGGACCTTCAGGGAAATCCACCTCTTGTCCCTTCGGAGGAAATGGTATCTCTCACTGCTTCTGCCTGCCTAGAGGAATTTGACATTGCAAAGCCATAATTCTGTAATACCACTCTTGGGATTGGGTGGGGGAGGAGATGGGCTGCCTTGAGAAGGGTTTTATCAAATGGATCTCCTGGTAAACTCAGGAGATGTCATCACCAAGGACCCCAGGTGAACTATGAACTCTACACAATACTCAACCCAAAATAAAGGGAAAAGCAAAAGCAGGCTGCCGCTCTCAGCTAGGATCTCAGAACAGGCTTGGTTGGCCTGCACATCAGCTCAGAACAGTGGATGGGGAGGTGAAATGAGGACAATACTTACACACACCCCTGGAGCATCGCCAGCTGGGAAGGATGAGGGTGAGGGTAGGAAGCTCTGGGGTAGTTAGAGAGGGACCTCCCCTGGGACCTCATGCCACAGAAAACCAAGACTGAAAATCTCAACAGGCCCAGCAACAATGCCAACAAGGATTTAGACTGAGCTTAATCTGTGTAGCAGGACCCAGTATCCAACCCAGACAAGGCTGAGTGGGCCAATTCCGAGGGAAAGAACTGGAGAAAGAGCTAGGGGATCATGAGAAGAAGAAAGAAGTTGGCCCTGAGGGTCTATTGAACACAAACAGGTTTAGTTCGCTCACATCTCTCTACCAACTAAAGACAGAGTGAAGCCGGCCAGTATGGCTCAGTGGTTGAGTGTTGAACAGTGAACCAAGAAGTCATGGTTCGATTCCCAGTCAGGGCACATGCCCGGGCTGTGGGCTCCGTCCCCAGTGTGGGACTTGCAGGAAGCAGCTGATCAATGATTCTCTCTCATCATTAATGTTTCTATCTCTCTCCCCCTCTCCCATCCTCTCTGAAATCAATAAAAATGTGTGTGTTTTTAAATGGAGTGAAGCTTCTTGGAACCCCTGCAATTTGGTTATGCCTTTTACTCCCTCCTCGTCCCTATTCCCACCTGCTCTGCCATACTGTCAGAGTAAAACACTTAAAAAGGCTTCTGCAGAAGAAAGAAGGGAGCCAGTACCAAGGGTAACAATACACAAAGGATAGTGTAGCAGCGGCCACTGCCCAAGGAGAGGAAGCCAGACTGAGTAAGAGGGAAGCCCTACAAAGTACTGAGGCTAATAATAGTGTGTGTGTGTGTTTAAGCATCAAATATAAATGGAGAGAGTATGAAGTGCACAGGCTCTGGAATTGCTGCTGGGTCTTAATCCTGGCTCTATCACTTTCTAGCGGTGTGATCTTAGTAAAGTATTTAACCTCTCTGGGCTTCCATTTCCCTGCCTTTAAAGGGATAATTCTAGTACCTATTTCATTTGCTGTTTGTAATGAGTAAATGAGTTAATATGTGTAAATGCCCACAGACATAGTGCCTGGCACATGGGGAGATTGCTTGCTGTTCTTATTACTAAATGTATCGAAGGGAGTGCTGTGCTTTCAGGTTAGTGTTCACTGACCAAGGACTTCTTCCCACAAAGCATTCTTGGAACTCCTTAAGGAATTGCCTTCAGAGCCTGTGATACACCTTTTGACTTTTTCCAAAAGTGACAAATCTGTGCCCTTCGAGAGTAGGTTTAATGTTTAAAAAAGCAATATGACATCCGGCGCCAACTCTGACAAAACTGGATGCTGACGTTGGGTAATACTGAACTGGGCCAAAAGCATGGTGTGTCCAATAAAATAAGTGCAACCTCATTAATTGGCTTTGAAAGCAATCAAAAAAGGGATTTAAAAACTCATTTTTAGCACGATCAGAATAATTTTTGCAGTTTTTAATAATGTGGGGGAAGACTCATTTTATAATATTTGGTATACATCTCAAGTTGCAAAATAATAGGATCCGAACTTTGTAAAAAGGAAAAAAAAAAATGGGGATAGAAAAAAAAAAAACAACCTGGCACATAATATACCATATTAAAATGGTCTCGCCCTAATCAGTTTGGCTCAGTGGATAGAGCGTTGGTCTGCGGACTCAAGGGGCCCAGGTTTGATTCCGGTCAAGGGCATATACCTTGTTTGTGGGCACATTCCCAGTAAGGGGTGTGCAGGAGGCAGCTGATCGATGTTTCTCTCTCATCAATGTTTCTAAATCTCTATCCCTCTCCCTTCCTCCCTGTAAAAAATCAATAAAATATATTTTAAAAATAAATAAATAAAATGGTTTCCTCTCTGTGATAGAATTGTGGCTGAGCTTTCTTCTTTACACTTGCAGTTTCTGGTTTCTCTGCTATTAAGCAACTCTTACATGGGAATTTAAAAATTGTGTCACTGGTGAAGGACCAGGGCCAGGGAAGGAGATTGCTTTGAAGGGCAGCACTCCATCTGCATGTTTACACACTTGCTCATTTTGATTTAGAAATAGTCTTATGACTTTGCACATGGCACGTAATTACATGTGTAATGGTGCCACTTCCCCCTTGGGGATAAGAACAGTATCCTGTAATTTTTTTAGATTCCTAAGGGTACTTTGGGACAGTGCTAGTACATAATAGGTGTTTAATAACACTTGATAACTTCACTACCAAGGGTCCCTAGGACCGGGGCTTATTGATATTGTTGTGGGAGGGCAGCAGGGACAACAAAGGCTTGGCCTAAACCCCACACTGACTTCATGATTCCCAGCATGAGTGCCCCTGCAATGACACATGGCTCACATTCTTCACAAGGGAAAGGTGATGATCCAGGGGAATAAAGAAACTGGAATACAGCCTTCAGGTACCACAAGGGAACAGAACCCAATGCTCCACCCTGTCCTGCCCCGCCCCCCCCCGGGGGGGTGGAGGGGGAGGATGCCTGTGTCCAGCCCCATCCCCTGCCACCTGCCCACCCCGCACAGCCTTACTTACTGGAGTTTCGGTGGGAGCTGGCCAAGCTGTGTCCAGCCATCTCAGGAGGTGGCTGGTGACCACGGTGCAGAAACTGCTGGGAGCTGAGCACGTGACTCGGGTGGGCAACCCGGTTCATGCTGTGCAGGACGTTGACCTGGGGAGGGAGGGCTTGGTGGGCACACACTTCTCCCCAGGTCCAACTCCATCTCCCAAAAGCCCTCTCTTAACCACTGCCCCACAGCTGCTGCCGCCCCACCCACCCCCGGGGCCAGGAGTCCTCCCTGCTGTCATTTCCATTCCCACCACCTTTCGGTCCAGTCCACTCCACCCTGGCTTCTCGCCAGTGGGGAATAGCTGCGGAAGGAAGAAGACCCTCTCGGTACCTCCACGATGAATTCATTGCTGGAGTAACGACCATTCATTTCTGAGCAGGAAAGCCGGAATTTCCTGGCATAGAGGGCAGCTCCGTGCCGCAGCCTGTAATGCACCTGCCTCAGGGTCTCTTCATACACGGTGATGCTCTCCACCCCTGGGGGACGGGGAAGTAGCTCAGTGCAGGAGCCAGTGAAGAGGCCCAGAGCGGACTCTCTCTCCGACTCCCACCAGCCTAGAGTGGGTGAACTCCACCCTTCCACAGGAGTTCTCAGAGGAAGCGATGTTCCCTTCTGCCCGGCAACCTGGCTCTAATTGATTGGGATGGGCTGCATTTCCTGCTCTGGTTTCCTCTCTAATGCTCTGTGGCTTCTGAGTAGGGATGGAGAGAAGGAAACCAGGACCCTCTGCAACACATTAGGGAGGTGGCAAGCAGGAGAGAAACAGAGAGAGGGGGAAATACGGAAATCACCAGGGAGGCTCTGGAAGGGACTGGAAATGGGAGGGAATTGGTGACGCCCATCAGCTCCCATCCTCCCTTAGGGAGGATCCTTTGGAGAAGAGCAGGCTTCCTTTGGACATTTCCAAATCATTCCCACTAGTTAGAAGACCTCCTAACAGAAAGCTATGCTGTTTACACAAGATGAGTGAGACGGAAGACAGGCGGGATGGCTGGTATCAAACAGCCAGAGGATTAGGAAGCTGGTCAAAGAAGGCTCGGCCAAAGGAGCGGTGGAGGTGAGCCAGGCTGAAGAGAGCAGAGGGAGAAAGGACCATTTGGAGCCTAACCCCTGGCACATCTCCTCCAGGGGCAATCTAGCAGCCAAACAATCTTCCAGGCTGGGAAGATGCGAAACGTCACTTGGCCGTATCCCTGGACCTGGAAGGGGACCCTCTGGGTTTCCCAGTTCTTGATCATGGGGAGGAGAACACACAGAAAAAGAGGACAGGCTCTCAGGCCCCACTGACCAGCAATGGTGATGTAGGCAGACGTGTTGGTGAGCTCCAGCCCGCGCTGCTGCAAGGAGGCCATGTCCAGGAGCAGGCTTTCCCGCTCCGGGTCTAGGTCATCCCCCACCAGAGAAATCTCACAGCCGTCCAGGTTGTGCACAATCTCATCCGACATGCGTGTGTCTGTCACTGGGTTGGAAAGAGTCAGGATCTGGGTCAGGGTTGAGGCCCACCTCATGGCCACTCTTCCTCCCATGCCAGGGTCATTCCCTGGAAGTCAGCATCATTTTCAAGAACGCCGTTTATGGGAGACTGATAAAGGGTTAAGCCTCGGACTGACTTGCTGGCAAAGTCACAAACAAGCCCTAGGTTAGAGGGCACAGTCCTCTTGGCATAATTAGGCTTGAAAATAAAAC